CTTTCTCACGTTTTTCCTCTTTTATTTTACTCTTTACTTTTTAATCTGACCTCGATGGCTACCTATTTGCAACTACTCTCCCCGCGGTGTCCACCGTCGTTCACATTGGTAAATTCCCTATAATCCTAGACTTGAAAAACAATTCGGATGAATCAGGAGCGGACAAACTGCAGAAACTCGCTATCGTATTATTAGGATCAATATAACTGTTATAACTGAACGGAAAGAAAAATATTTAAAATAAAACAAAAACCCACATTATAAATGTGCAAGTTTTTGTAAGATTCGAAGGTTTCTAAAATAATTTTAATATTTATGATATTGCGGTCTTATTCTTGTGAGGCGACAAATCAATTTTCCTCATAGATGATGATGACAAATACCCCAGTTTGTCCAAAGTATCATTTCTACTTAACGCGTTTACATGCTTCATTTATTTACCCTGTCTGTCAATAATTCTGTATTGGTATTTATTTAATTCCATCACCCACCTCCTTTTGCAAAAGCTCTTTTGACAGCAGCACAGTCTGTAATAATACTAAAGCAACTAGCGTCGGAAACGCCTAACAGAGCTCACAGTCGCAAAAGCTTTCAAATCGAATGGATGCTATTTTTATTCCTCCTTAGTGATCTGTCTACTAAAATACGACACTCTCTCTGTTTCATTATACACTTGCACCAGAATTCTAGCAAGACCCAACCAACTAGCATCGGTATACAGCTTTATTGCCTTTTCTGGGTTAAATAGTGTACAGTACCTGTGTGTGTGTAAGGTACTGCTATAATCACCCAAAATATTCCAGTAATTTTAGATTTAAAAAGGGCTTCTGTTAGCAACTAAATTTTTTAATGGATTTATCTTAGTGTTTAGAAAAAAATATTAAAAGTGGAACTCAAAATCACCGTCGCTTAAAACATTATTCAAGGTTAGGGTTCATGAAAACGGGTTTTTACGAATATTGCGCTTCATATGGCTGAGAGGTCAATAAGGTCATTATAAAAATGAAAGATAATGTAATTCCCTGAAAAAATGATCTCTTAATTTTTTTCCTCTTCATGTCGCTTATGCATAGAAGATGTGCTTGCTCTATGTATAAAAGTTTATCACCTGATCGATGTATAAAGTAAAATATATTTATATACATATACAGGTATATGTTAATTGTGTTGGCTAGGGAGGGTCTCCAAGTCACCAATAAGGGTTTAATAAATAAAGACACATCACTCCTGTATTTATATTATCATCTACATAGCGTTCGATTTGTTAACATTATCACTAAAAATATGATACATCTATGTATATAAATACAATACCCACATTTTCACATAACTGAATTCAATGCAGTATATAAATTTCGTAGCGAATTTCTAGCTATTCACATTCACATTTTCAAATAAAAACATTTTTTTCTATTGTTGATATTTATGAAATTGTGAACTGCATTATTTTAGCCAATCCCCTTTAATCATATCGGAAGCCTTTTCTCCAATCATGACTATTACCGCATTTGTATGTCCTGCCACAATATTGGGCATGACAGAACCGTCAACAACTCTTAAATTCCTTATACCATACACTTTCAAAGTTGGGTCCACAACAGCTTCAGGATCAGTACTTGGCCCCATTTTGCATGTTCCTACTTGATGACCAAGTGTAGTTGCAACATGTTTTATGGCACATGCCCAGTACTCATCGGAATTAAAGGGAAGATTTTTACACCAGGGAAATGGTATTGGTAGTAGCGTAGCATTGTACTGTTGAAAGTAGCGTGATTGACTTATATTTATTGCCTGTAACAAACAAATACAGTATGAGAATGCAAACCTCTTTAGTAGAAATAATGAAAGAAGCAAATTAATATATTGCACTGTTCAGAATATAGTACATTACGTATCGAGGGAAGAAACAGTGTTTTTTCAGACTGCATGTGAATTGCCAAATTGGCAAACATGCAGTCTGAAATAACCCTGTTTCTTCCCAAGGTACGTATACTATTTTTTGTCATGTTTGTGCGGTAAGCTCGTCATTAAATTGATTGTTGGCGAATTAAGAGTAAATGATTTAGAGGTTAGAAATACATTGTCATTGAACAACTGATTTCTGCGCATGCCCATAAACTGCAGCGCACTAATTTCATTGCCTCCCGACTAAAACACGGCTGAAAAGAGGCCATATTTTCCCTATTTCATAGCACGCAATACGAGTTTTCCGCGCTAACATGACAAAAAATTAATTTATGTCCCAATTACAAGTAAATATTTCAATATGCATTAGTAGTAATTACGTAGTACTTTTATTTAATACCCAGTGTTATTCTTAACTAAAACACGTTTTAACTCTGATTAAATACTTATCTTTTAATTTTATGTTTTCGTTTATTATTCTAATGTATATATCAATTACCAATGTTTACAAACTTCTTTACTTTCAATGTATTAGCGAATTATTTTCTGAATTAATTTTATCCCCTGCAGATAACCTCAAATTAATGAGGAAAAATGGTTAATGCTGTCGCTCCCTTTTTGGGAATCACATCGCATTAATAATAATGATTATACATTAGTTCTTGGATTCTCCGACCTATACTCGTTTTTTAGTAAAAAATAGAATATTTCGGAAACCGTAACTTGGGTCTAGTTGCTTTTTTTTTATTTGCTTGCTTATAAAAGGGGTAATGATCATCAAAGTATCATCAATACAACGTTTGTTTTAACAAGGTTATTAACAATGCAGGGAATTTTAAATTCTACAAATTTTATGTTTAACTTCTTCCTGGAAACCTGTTTCGCGTGTTTTTAGACGCAATTTAGCACAATTCTAACTAAAATTTTTGGATAATTCGCAAATGATGTTGATTAATATACCTTTCTCAAAACTTTTAGGTAGGTCTTACTCTAAGTAACGTTTACTTTTCTCGAGATTTTAATTTGACTGGTCTAGAACTTTTAACGTTTAATTGACCAAAATTTATATTAATAGCGCTCACAATAAATATCAAAAACTTTCCAATACAAAAAAATAACCAAATAGTAATAACATTGACAAAGGCACATCATACACAAGGCTGAAGACCTATAACCACCCAAATGTGGAGGTTACCTTACCATAAGTGTTGCTTACGTTTTACAGGGCATCAAAAATAGTTTTGATTTCAAAAAGTCCAAAAATTATGATGCTGATTGTGCTTCAAACTAACTTTTACAATTACCAAAAATTAATCAGAGATATATTAGAGGCAGAAACGGAAGTTAGGAGGGGTAGGAGAGATAGGTAATCAAGGATACCGTTACGTCGATTGCGAGATAAATCAGCCTGCAAACTTTTTTCTAAATCCGTTTTCGGAGGTTGAACTCCAACAACTACTAATACGGAAAATAAATAGTAAAAGATAGTCTGGTTCAGATGAAATATCCCAATGGTTAATTAGACAGATTAGAGACAATATCAAAAAACCATTATGCCAAATTGTTAATCTATCCTTTTTAACAGGGGAATTCCCTGAAAAACTAAAAACAAACAAGGTAATCCCGGTACACAAAAATCGGACAGAACAGATATGAGAAACTATAAACCTATTACAATGACACAAAGCTTCAGTAAAATCTTGAATATTGCTACCTACATCGCCTAGAATACTTTCTCAGCAAATACCAAATATATAACAAAATACAATACGGCTTCCAAGCAAATAAATCTACAGAAATGGCAATAAACAAATTTGTTTCTGAGCTAGCGGACCACCTAGAAAACAATGAGCATCCAATCGGAAACTTCTGCGACCTAAGCCGCGCTTTTGATTGCGTGAAACATGATAGATTACTATACAAAATGGATAAACTTGGGATCAGAGGTGTTGCTAACCAGTGGATAGAATCCTTTCTAACAGACAGAAGACAATCAGTGGTAGTCACACACAAAGACTCGAATGGAGTTACTGAATTAAAATCTAAGGAAGTAACCGTTGATATAGGCGTACCACAGGGATCTGTATTAGGGCCTGTCCTATTTCTCCTCTTCATAAACGATTTTGAAACCTGCCTAAATGGCAAAGCATCTGCAACACTTTATGTCGACGATACCTCTTTAATTGTGTCACACAAAGATGATATTATACTTGAACAAAGGTGTAGTGAGGTTCTTCAGGAGGTGAATGATTGGTTCAATTGCAATTACCTATACTTGAACAAATGCAAGACAAATTACATGAGATTCCACACTCCCCAAAGCAAAAATGTAGGGCAAATAAATTTGTACAACGGAGATAACGAGGTGTTAGATTAGCACCCTTTTATAAAATTCCTAGGAGTTACAATCGACTCAACATTCACCTGGAAAATTCACTGTCAAAATTTAATATCGAAATTGTCAGCCACCTGCTTTCTGATAAGAAGCCTTAGACATGTACTTACAACAAAACAACTACTTTGTGTGTATTTTGCACAAGCACACTCTCAGCTTTCATACGGAATATGCTTCTGGGGCTCGTCAGTAATTGCACATGATGTCTTCAAAATACAAAAAAGGATCATACGGTGCATAATGGGAGTAAACCAAATGACTCCCTCCAAGGGTCTTTTCCGTAAACTGAATATTCTGACCTTAACAGGAAAATATATTTTAGAATTAAGCATTATAATCCATAGAAAATACTACAAATGGCGTGGTGAGCG